GCCTTTCGTCAGCCAAGTGTAATTTCTTCGAGGTTTGATTGGTTCACTGGATTGTGTGCGTCCTTTGTGATTGGACAGAGTAATGATGACTTCGGTTTTGGTTTTACGACACCCAATTGTAAACCGCCCTAGCAGTCGGGTTTCACCTGTTGCTTCACGCCGGAGGTTTTTCCCGTTTTATCAATAGTTGTAGGTGCTAATGACATTATCTGCTCTAGGTTCGGCCGAAAAAGGCCGCTGGTTTATTGCATGATTATTGCTGCCATTGCCTCTGCCGGCGCAGTGTTGTTTACAATGTATGACCCCGGTGAGGACAAAGGTAGGTTGGTCCCGATCCATTTGACTGTAACTTAAAAAAGAGCCAAGAACAGAAGGAAAAAATCCTTCAATTACATTTTATTGACAAGTAGTAAAGTTAACTGAGGCTTCCATTTTCAAGCCAACAAACTTCTTAACATGACGTTTATCCATGCGGTGGTATGATAAACTGTATTACGTAACTGCACTGATTTTATTGTTGTCTGCAGGTTTCATGGTTGGCCGTATTATCATGGCATTGTTAGCCAAGTTCTTTATATTCATTTCATTCGATGCCGTGTATGTGTACGCTGCCGAGCTCTTTCCCACAGTCATCAGGTATGGTTTGATCCGTGCTTCATATCCCGGGAGGGGGAGGGACTCCCACATGAACAGTATAAATCAAGGATTCTGGTCTCACATAGGGGTTCAAGACGAAACGCCAGTATTTTTAGCTGCCAAAGTATCTTTTAGAGCGCACTCGAAGAAATAATGATAAAAACGCTCTTAATTCTGTTTTGAGGCTCGATTTCCGCAGGTCTCTCGACTCCGGTCTACTAGCGCGGGCTCCTTTTTTGAACAGCGGCTGGTAATAGACTATTCCGTTTTAAGTGGTATCTATGGGTCAAATAAAGCTCAAGCCACACCCAGATTGGTTGCCTGTAGGGGTTTAATTCAAATTTCCGACGAGCCTCCCCGGCCTATGGGAGTCCCCCCCCCCCCCCCTCCCTCCCCCCGGGAGCGGTGCTAACATCTTCTGGGCATCTTTCAGGTCACCGACACTCAACAGTAATCAGTAACCTGCGCTGGACAACTTATGCAGGTAATCAGGAGCTAAANTGGGAGTCCCCCCCCCCCCGGGGTCCATATGTGCCTTTACGTACCTAGCCTATTCCCAACCTCGTTCCCAGGGTCTCTCATCTTACCGCCCCCTGGAGCTTCGCTCGCTCCAGGGGGCGGTAAGAAGAGAGACCCTGGGAACGAGGTTGGCCCATTCCCTTGATCGCATTCACTGCATAAAGCTAATGCAATGTTCACATATGAAAGAAGTTGTTCTTTCTCCAAAACAGAATTCTTTAGCCAGTCTTTGCGCTTGCTCTACCATTTCTGAAGTTTGCACAGATGCAAGAGATCAGTGAAATTTTTTTACCAGCGACGCTTGTCTTTTTAGTTGATCTTCTTACATTCATAGTTTAGTTTCCAAGCAGACTGTCTCTTTTTCCACCTTTAATAAAGCGCTGCTATAATCTGGAGGCGGCGTGGCCTAGTGGGTAAGGGCGCTGGATTTGTAATCCGGAGGTCCCGAGATGTATTTGTGTTTAGTGGTCCCAGATTCAACTCCTCCACGCTTTGTAAATATCCAAGTGGTCAGCCTCCCGTCAGTTGGGATTTTTGACGAGTTTCTGTTGAATTTACAATGCTTACAATATTTGTTTGCCTATTTTAGTGTCTGCAATTAGAGTAGCAGTGCTAAACACTTCGACACTTAAATAAAGTGATTTATTTTTATTTATTATGAGCCATCACCGTGGAGCCATAAGACTTCTCAATTCTCATTTTAATACTAGCCATGAGAACTTCGTATAACATCAAGACAATATCCCCTTGTAGATGATCTTTTTTATTCTCATTACCTGCCAGCCCGCTTAATAATGAATCCAGATTAGGAGAAATAAGATCTCGATCACTGTTGTGTTCATTATAGGAACATCGGCATGGGATCATCAACGGCAGCTGCGAGGATTGGTTCATTTTCGTCTCCTTATATCATCCATCTGGTGGGAAACTTTATGTTTAATCAGCAAAGATTTTTACGATTTTATATTTCCGTTTCCTCCATAGTTTTAGATTCGATTGAAAAGAATACCAAACACTCAAGACAGTGTTTGACCACATTTCCAAACACCTCGAAGTTCGTCCAAAATACTCCACTGCGCGTCGTATTTTAAACTCTCCTCTCTGTGTTTGGAAATGCGGTTTTCCAAGACGTTTTTCAAAGCCTTAATCCTTCCATCTCCCACAGTAATGTCTTAAAATCATCAAAAACATTCCCAACGTTAACGGCACCTTGAAATCTACATAGCTATGAAAGCATTTGTAGATTACATCAAACCACAAGATATGACTGACATTACCACATAGCTTGAATGTAATTCACTTTCTTTTCTGTTATCATCTCTCAGCGACTCGTGCATCCACTCCTCCCGTACGGCATCATGGGAGTTAACGCGCTGTTGGCGGGTTTGTTGTCCCAGACGCTGCCAGAGACGAAAGGAATGCCAACCGCTGAGACAATGGACACCGAAAGCGCAGAAGAGGCCTATGTGGCATTACAACTGGCAGATCCCAAAGAAAAGGACCCGGAGGAGATGAAAGACCTCTCCATGGCTGACGCCGTCAAGGACACCGCCAGGGTTCATCTTGTGGATGATAAGAGTCCGTCTTCTATATGAACTGGCCCGGAGACTTTCTCAAGCAAACTGGTGATTTCATGAGTGATGTAATAAAACCTAGAAGTAAAAAACTGTAGATTATAAAGCCCCAGCCGCAAAAAATTGGCTACATAAGCACCATATATACTAAAGAAAACAAAGGAATATAACAGGAGTAGCACTATTTAGAGCTTATTAAAACACATTTTAGTAGATACACCAATCACAAAAATACTGATTGTTTTTACTCTGTAATTAACAAGCTGTTGAGTTCACCCTAACCTCCTGTAGATAGCCCGGCGTTACACCAGAACCATTTCGGCCTGTTACCGTTCTTTCAAAACTGATTCCTTTTTTCAGTTCTCTCCTTATTAATTAACTAATTGAGGCCTCGTCCACACGTATCCGGATATATTTGAATCCGCAACTTTTTCTTTCCAAATTAAAAAATTTCCCCGTCCACACGTAGTGTATTCAAATCGAATTCGCCTGTCCACACTCATCTGATGGTATCTGGATTCACTCTAGAGAAACTAGGCTAACACGTTGTACCGCCATATTGGTTTATTGTTCGGTAAGAGACTGGACACGATTTTGCTACGTCACCGGATTCGAAAATATCCGGATTCACCGTCCACACATTATCGGATTCGTTGTGGATTTATTTATTTATTTATTTATTTATTTATTTATTTATTTATTTATTTATTTATTTATTTTATTTCTTTTTTTTGCACTCAGGAGAGCGGATTAAAAAAATATCCGGATTCGCTGCCGAATTCGCCGGGTGCATGTGGACGGGAAGCCGTATCCGGAAAGAAAAACTTGCGGATTCAAAAATATCCGGATACGTGTGGACGGGGCCTGATATAGTCAGCGAGAGTGCCGCAAGTAATCAGGAATTGCTTCTTCTTTGCGTTACCGTTCTGTGGTTGATTAAACGGCTTGTCCCAAACACTCAACCGTATTCAAAGTGACAAAAGAAAACGAGTTAGAAGTTTTGTCTCGCACATTTAAATTTCCCGCGCTTAGTGCTGATATACTTTGCTTTGTGCTCTCATTAGCTCTCATTGTTTCATTGTGTTTTGCATTTCTAGTTGTTTGCCAATGTAAAGTTTTTTTGGTTCCGTCATGAAATCCGCCATATTATCGCAGCCGATAGCAGATCTTACAATAACTGCAAAAATTCTCCGCGCTCATTGGCTAATTATCATTGTCAATAGGTGGACAGACACATGAATTTGTAATTTATGTTGACGCAACGACCGAGAGCAGCTTGTTATTGTAAAAAACAAATTGACGTCAGTTTTTCGTGCGTCTGTCCTGTTATTGATCATGAATTTCGTCATAACATTGTCAAAGTAGTGTGTGGATCCACTCGGCTATCGCCTCGTGGATCCACAGCTACCTTGACAATGTTATGACGAAATTCATGATCAATAACAGGACAGACGCACGAAAAACTGACGTCAATTTGTTAAATATAGTCCATGGTTTTGTTGTTTGTGATAGTGTATATACCGTGGACCCACTTAGTCCGGTCACCAACGGGCCGCAAAAATCTGGCCGTGTTAACGGGATGGCCGTATTAAGAGTCACTGACTGGAAATATCGAGAATGGCTGGCCAGGTTAGAAAAATCGAAAATCCTGAGACTTTGCCTAAAGAACGCTTTTAGGGAGCTACTTTCGAAAATTTTATTCCGATTTTCTTAGAATTTAGAGTCTTCGAGAAATTCGCAAACAACGAAAATATAGCTTTTTGCCTCATTAAATATGCAACAAATATCTGGAAGTTCTCGATATTCGCGTTGAAACAATTTACAAAACTAGAACACGGGGTAAACTTTGCATAAGAGCTTTGATTTTCTTCTATCTAACAATAGGAAGTTTTTAAATTTTTCAAGCATTTTGAAGGATTCCGTCGACCGTTGAAGAATTGCCTTTTCACGCCCCTATGAAAACGGCAAAAATCGCGTAGTTTTACGGGCTTAAAATGCATCTTGTTATGTCCGATATGGAACTAAAACAAATCCTGTGCAAAAGAGTGTTGTTTCTACTATAATAATATGGAAAAAATTTTCTGGGCAATCGAGGTTCACACAGGTTAAATGCAGAAGTTCGCGACGATCTCTTCTCAATTTGCATAATGCGGTATGTTCAAAGAACTCTATTGTTGAGCACTCTAGTCTGTTTTTGTTCCATTTGCGGGCCATGCTTTGGGGGAAATATACAAAAAGAGAGTTGATCCATGTCGTTATTACAACATTGTTTCATTATTTCACGCAAGATACAAAAAAACTACAGAGAAAGCCCAAAATATAAGTTCAAAGTTACATAGATTAAATACGCTACATGTATTACGTGACTGGCGTCACGCAAGACATATTTTCAGTTAGCTCCAATTGGAATTCCTCGATTACTGAGGTTTAGACACTTGCTTATAATAGAAGCATATACGGGTTTGTCTTTCCCGTCTATACACACTCGATTAGTCTGCAAATATTCGAAAGGAGACTGGTCTTTTAAAGTATTTTTTAACCATTGTGTCTCGATTTTGATCTTGATGGAAAACGGATTAATTAGATGCAATAAGACCAAGGAAGCAGGTTTTCTTGAAAAATAGAGTAAGACTGTCTGAGGTCTATCCCACGATCTGACCTCGGTTGGAATTCGGCCTAGTCCAAACGTCGTGCTTCTGCCGTGCCTACCTCAAATAAATTTGGCCTGGCAGTGCATGTCAAAAAGCTATGAAAGATTCAAACGTCGAATTTAATTCAGTCGCGCAGAAGATCGGAAGAAGTTTGCTTTGCTGAAGATCTTTTTAAATGCTAGAAAGCAATTGCAGCTGATGCAGCAGGATATGAATTCAGAGGGACGGCGGAGTCTTTTTTCAAGTGAAGGTGGAGGGGGAGGTGGGTAGCTTGAAAACGAGTGGCGCCGACGCAAGTTTGTAGAGGGGTCTAGGGGCATCCTCGCCCAAAAAACATTTAAAATCTAGGGCCTCGGAAATGGTATTTTTGAATGATAGGTACTTTTACTGAGTGCATTTACAGTAATATATTTTGAAGGTATTATGAGCTTGATACATCTTTCTCAGCCCTCCATGATATATTACGGCCTTAGTACTGACTGACCTGCACTTTTACACAAGCCCCCCGTGTGTGGGAAGGAAGCGCGCGCTGCGGAAAGGTTAAAACTATGTAAACGTGAAAAGCTTCCTACAGATTTGGTACGAGGTTGTAGCTTTGTAAATTCTTGGTAAATCTGTAGTCAACCATGTCATTGTGGTAAAAAGTGGAGGGGGGGGGACTTAAGCCCCCACCCCGGCTCTGCCGTCCCTGGTTCAGTTCGGCACGTGCATGGCAAGAGCACGCCGTTCGAAGCCAAGTCNTTGTCGAGCACCCTAGTCTGTTTTTTTCCATTTGTGGGCCTTGCTATGTGGGAAATATACAAAAAGATAGTTGATCCATGTCGTTATTACAACATTGCTTCATTATTTCACGCAAGATATCTATAGAAAAAATCTATAGGAAAAGCCCAAAATATAAGTTCAAAGTTACCTAGATTAAACACGCTACATGTATTACGTGACTGGCGTCACGTAAGAGATATTTTCAGTTAGCTCCAATTTGAATTACTAGATTATTGAGGTTTAGACACTTGCTTATAATAGAATCATATAGGGGTTTGTCTTTCCCGTCTATACACACTCGATTAGTCTGCAAATATTTGAAAGGAGACTGGTCTTTTAAAGTATTTTTTAACCATTGTGTGTCGATTTTGATCTTGATGGAAAACGGATTAATTAGATGCACTAAATGAAACGAAGAAGTTTTATTAACGTGATCCAGCCAGACCAAGGAAGCAGGTTTTCTTGATAAATAGGGTAAGACTGTTTGATGTCTATCCCGCGATCTGACCTCGGTTGGTTGAACGAGCGGTGCCGGCGCAAGTTTGTAGAGGGGTCTAGGAGCATCCTCGGAAATGGTATTTTTGACATTCTCCATGGTGTAGGTTTTAAGAAAATCAACCTAGTGGGTGAACTATAAAATGACAGGTACTTTTAGTGCATTTGCAGCAATATATTCTGAAGGTATTGTGAGCTTGATACATCTTTCTCAGCCCTCCATGATATATCACGGCCTTAGCACTGACTGACCTGCGCTTTTACACAAGCCACCCCATGTGTGGGAAGGAAGTGCACGCTGCGGAAAGGTTAAAACTATGTAAACATGAAAAACCTTCCTACAGATTTGGTACGAGGTTTTCGTTTTCTTTGTTCTTCTTTAGTTCTTCATTTGTACCTCATTCTAAAACAAAATAAACTGTCATCGTGGTAAAAAGTGGAGGGAAGGGTGCGGGGCTTGAGCCCCTACCCCAGCTCCGCCGTCCCTGGTTAGGGGTGGCGAATGGTCCTTTAAAAACTCTGGGTCTCGCACAATTTTAGTCGAATTTCACGGGTCTCGCGGTCTCGTTTTTTAGCATTTATGTGCGTCTCGCAGTCCCAATTTTTACACGAAGCTCTCTCGGAGTTTCGACTTTTTGCAATTGCAAGGTTAAGAGTTTCGAAGCTCCGATTCGTTTGTTTGTTTTAATAAGTGACCTCTTCTCGTCACTTGATATTGAATTTCAATAAAGCTACTTTCAAATTTCCGAGAAAATGTTAATGCTAACTTCTGCCAAATTGTCTGAATTCCACAAAAGGCTGCAAAACTTACCGCAACGTCATTTTAAAAAACAGTTATTTTGTTCTAGGATATCCTAACGTAGTGTGCTATAGTCGAATTTCTAGTTCCAGCTTGTTCGCAAAGGCTGGCTAAAAGGCTAAATGGAGATTTATTTTACCCGGTAAAATAAATGGTTTTTATGGTGCTTGTTTTGACTCCGTTCTCACTTCCGCCTAAGGGGCTTCCGGGACTACGCACGGTTTTGACGTCACATGCCTCGATGCGCTTTCTCTCCCTTTACGTCGATTGAAGAAAGCATCGTGCTAGAATTTCATCCCCTCCTCCACCCCGTCTCCTCCGGTACATAGTCAGTCTTATTCTGGGCCTCGCCAGCGGTTTTCACCCTCGCCTTTGCTGGGAACGAGGTCGTTTAAAGGGTTAGCTCTTCCTTAGGGATGACTGATTGGCAAATAAATGCTGTACACTTTATTGATTTAATAAACGGCCACTCACGCGGCCAAAAGTTTGCCAATCAAGGTGTGATCCTTTTTACCCACTTCCTCCGTTCTCATCAAAAAGCCACACACATTCCACGATAGCTCATGATGAAACCCACGAAGTCGAAGAACTTATCTGTTGTTCCCTGTGGAACTGTGTAAAGGCACAAGTATTTACGACAAAAGGTACCTTTGTAAGACTTCTGTACAAGCTCATTTTCGCTCATTCTTATAGCTCTCAACTAAATCTGGAGCTTGAATTTTAAGAGTCTGAGCCCCTCTCGCTCGCTTTCGGTTTCGCAATCTAAAAAGTCAATATGCCTCGAGCTCGCAAAGAATAGCGCTGGTCTCGCCGTCTCGTGCAGTCTGGCATTTACTATTCACCGCCCCTCTGGTTCAGTTCGGCACGTGCATAACAAAAGCATGCCGTTTGAAGCCAAGTCGCGCTGAACGGAACGGCATTAGGCCTGCCGTGCTATACGTAGTCGCGCCGAATTTAATTCAGCCTGCCGAACTGAGTGCATGCATGGTTTCAAACGTCGTGCTACTGCCGCGCTTGAGTCGAAGTTCTCGGTATTCGCATTGAAACAATTTACAAGACTAGAACACCGGATAAACTAAGCATATTAAAAGCCTTATATTAAATTAAATTTTGAGAGGTTCCGTGGACTGTCGAAGAATTCAAGCCCCTATGGAAACAGAAAAAATTGCGTAATTTTACGGGCTTAAAAGGCGTTTTAGTTTAACCAATATATATAATCAGTATTTGGAACAAAAAATCTGGGCAGTAAGAACGCGCGCCAGCAAACACAAACGTTTTTTAGGCTAGGTGAACTTTTTTGCATAATTGAAAAGTCTCTTCATAGAGTGACTACTCGATATATTTCTAACANAGCCACACACAACCCACGATAGTTCATGATGAAACCCACGAAGTCGAAGAACTTATCTGTTGTCCCCTGTGGAACTGTGTAAAGGCACAAGTATTTACGACAAAAGGTTCCTTTGTAAGAGTTCTGTACAAGCTCATTCTCGCTCATTGTTATAGCTCTCAACTAAATCTGGAGCTTGAATTTTAAAGAGTCTGAGCCCCTCTCACTCGCACTCAAAACACTTTGAAGTCTCGGTTTCGCAATCTAAAAAGTCAATATGTCTTGGGTTCGCAAAGAATAGCCCTGGTCTCGCCGTCTCGCGCAGTCTGGCATTTACCATTCATCGCCCCTCTGGTTCAGTTCGACACGTACATAGCAAGAGCATGCCGTTCGAAGCCAAGTCGTGCTACTGCCGTGCGGAACGGTATTAGGCCTGCCGTGCTATACGTAGTCGCGCCGACTTTAATTCAGCCTGCCGAACTGAGTGCATGTATGGTTTCAAACGTCGCGCTACTGCCGCGCCTGAGTCGAAGTTCTCGGTATTCGCATTGAAACAATTTACAAGACTAGAACACCGGATAAACTAAGCATATTGAAAGCTTTATATTAAATTAAATTTTGAGAGGTTCCGTCGACTGTCGAAGAATTCAAGCCCCTATGGAAACAGAAAAAATTGCGTAATTTTACGGGCTTCAAAGGCGTTTTAGTTTACCCAATATCGGGTCGAAATAAAAACTTCGATTAACTTTTGGTCGTCTTCAATCAGTATTTGGAACAAAAACCTGGGCAGTAAGAACGCGCGCCAGCAAACAGAAACGTTTTCAAGACTAGGTGAACTTTTTTGCATAACTGAATAGTCTCTTCATAGAGTGACTACTCGATATATTTCTAACAGTGTTTTTTTGTCGTTGTTGNAAAACAAGGTATCCGCTGACTAATATCATGTGGCCATATGCGGGCTCTGGATTAGACAAACAATAGACAGCAAGGCTGATACTACATGATATACGCTTCGAGGCCTCACCCCGGCTCCGCCTCCCTGGTTCAGTTTGGCACGTGCATGGCAAGAGCACGCCGTTCGAAGTCAAGTCGCGCTATTGCCGTGCGGAACGGCATTAGGCCTGCCGTGCTATAAGTAGTCGCGCCGATTTTGATTCAGCCTGCCGAACTGAGTGCATGCATGGTTTCAAACGTCGTGCTATTGCCGCGCTTGAGTCGAAGTTCTCGGTACTCGCACTGAAACAATTTACAAGACTAGAATACCCGATAAACTAAGCATATTGAAAGCTTTATATTAAAGTAAATTTTGAGGGGTTCCGTCGACTGTCGAAGAATTCAAGCCCCTATGGAAACGGCAAAAATTGCGTAATTTTACGGGCTTAAGAGGCGTTTTAGTTTGCCCAATATCGGATCGAAATAAATACTTTGATTAAGTTTTGGTCTTCTTCAATCAATATTTGGAACAAAAAATCTGGGCAGTGAGAACACGCACCAGCAAACAAACGTTTTTAAGGCTAGGTGAACTTTTTTGCATAATTGACGAAAATTGAAGTCTCTTCATAGAATGACTACTGGATATATTTCTAACAGCGTTTTTTTTTGTCGTTGTTGGTGTCTTCAATTACTTAGCCTTAATAGTTTCCAAATAATAAAGAAAGAGGGAAAATCGATGGTTAAACTGACAACCTTTTACAGAACACATTATCCCCTGTCATATTTTTCGGCTCAATCCCCGTAAAAGATACCGCAAAAGCTCTCGCGGTGGACCTTCTAAAGATTAACTCCTAAAATGTACGACGAGCACCCCCGTTACTTAATATGAGTGTCCCTCCCTCCCCCCCCCGGGGGGAGAATGAATAAAGTTTGCATGGCGTGTAGCGCGACTTGGCTTCGGCGTGCTCTTACGTACCGTGCCGAACTGAATTCATAGCCTGCTGCATCAGCTGCCGTTGCCAATATTTGTAGCATTTAAAATGGCCTTCAGCAAAG